TGTAAAATAAGATCGTTTCTACATTAAATTAAAAAAGAAAAGAAAAAATATGATGCATAATTAAGAAATACAGGTTGGTAGTTAGTCATCTATAATGATTAAACTTATACTCATGTTAGGTATCTTTTCAAGGACATGAACAGATATATTTAGATAAATAGATGGCCTTGAAACACTTCAAAAGTCCAATAGAATATGACATTTAAGGTGTTTAATAACCTGAAGTTTTCATGAGAGTGAGACACATCTGGCTGCTCCCGACAGCACAAATTTACTTCAAAAGAAGATGTTGGGCATCAAAGAACCTCCATGTGGAGTTTGCTTTATTTATGGCAAAATGCAACAATTTGGGCAAAATACTGTCTTTGCTTCAACTGCTGACAGTATACTATCCAAACTGGACCAGAAGAACTCAAAAGAAAACAGCTGCCTAATTTTGTCTAGTCAAGGCAGGACAGTCCTTCAAAATTCTCTGCTTGGGAAAAATATCTTTCATATATGTAGGTCCTGTATGCCTAAGCTGAAGGCCCCAATTCTTCAGAGGAATTTTGAATGACTGTCCAGGCAGTCAGATGCCCTGTAATTAGGTACATTCTGTGGTCTTGATGGAGTTAAAGAGTAAACAATTAGACTCAAAGTTTTTCTTAGTTATGATAACAGACAAATTAGATGTAAAATTAATATATATATATATATATTTACTTTGCTAAAGCTGAAAACTTTCCTTTAAATATACAAAAAGGGGAAATGCTCTCATATAATCCTTTTGCACACTGGAAAGATGTTTTGCTTTCATTAGTTAACAAAGAGTTGACTGGCCACTAGCTAAGTAGGAAGAGGTTAGGCATGAGGGTCAAATTGAAAGAATGATGGTCAGAAAGACAGAGTCATGGGAAGTAACCAGGAGATTTGGAGGAAGCAGGAGATGAACATGCCATGCTGACAAAAGGTACCACCATGTGGTAGATAGTGGAAAAGCCATATGGGCTAATTTAAGATGTAAGGTCTAGTTAGTAACAAGCCTAAGCTATCAGCTGATCATTTATAATCATTAATAAGCCTCTGTTTGTTTACTGGGCAGCCAGATGGCTGGAGTAGAGCTACCTGGCAATACAGAAACCCCAACTACAATGGTCTGCACTCTTAGATGATGCTCCTACAATTAAATGTTTTCATGATGCTCCCTCTGCTAGAGTATGTATGTGGACAGAATCTCTCATGTGAAGCGAACTGGACTATTGCTTCTCCTTTCACTGACTAGAAACCTTCATACCTGGGGATTAGAGACAGCAATACACCACAGAGAGTAGTTGTGTTGTATAAACTGTTTCTACAAGAGTCCTGTGTTGGTGTGACTCTTTAATTAAATGACTATTGGGGGTGGGTCATTTGTCATCTCTGAACCAAAGAATTCCCCCGAAAGATTCTCAGCATCAAATCTAACAGTGTCCATGAGGTTCTTCACAGCACACTCTGCACTAAAGAGCGTCTTGCCCTCTGCCCTCCCATCTCTGGAAGCAAAGGAGAAAGGGCCACTGGGCAAACTGACAGTCCTCACTGAGGGACAGCTGTCATGGTCACCATCCTTTCAGGGCCACTCAGCAATTCCCCCACAACAAACTCTCGCTCTCCAGTTCTTCATCTGCCATTTCATGTGCTTGGAAGTCCATCCATTTCCCAGGATCCTCTCTTGTGGGTGTTTTCCTTAAGTTGGGACTTCTTATTGCAGCCTCCAGCTGAGTTAGGTGGTCAAGTAAAAAGAAAAGTAAACCAGTGAGGAAGATGACAGGCCTCAGACACAGTGACCAGCTCAGTAGACACTCAAGGCTTTGAGTGTGGTTCCTGGAAGGACAACAACAAACATCTCAACTGCATGTACATTTTGTTTGAAGTAGTGTCTTCTATACACAAGCAGGCAGAAGAAAAACCCAAACAATACAGGAACATCACCCTGAGTAAGTGTATTTATTCCTTCGAAACAAGAGCAGAGGCCTGTTCAAGACTTCAGGCTTTTCTCATGTGAGTATGAGGACATCAATTTCTGACTACACAAACAAAGGTGCTTCTCAAGATTTTCCTCCAAAACATCCAAAGTTGTGGTAATCTACAGCCTGTAGTCTGCCTTAAAAACCTCAGAAGAACACAAGAGGAAACTCCCTCCTGGAAGATTCCTCCTAGTGGTCCAGACGGTAAAGAAGAATCCAGGTAGGTTTTTCTGTCATCACTCACCACCTCCCAAGCTCTCACTCGAGTTTGTACACTGTCTCCATCTTCTAGGCTTCAGTATAGTCCTGACTTATCTAATAGGGTCTGGTTGGTAAATAAAGTAACGACCATGTATGAAGCATGAGGCAGCATCATGCTCAGGATGCTGGTGTTTGTACAACAGGCTCTCACAGAAGACAGAGACACAAATAGAGGCAGATGGGGAAGCAACAGTGTTCATACAGGTTCAGTGTTTCCATACAAACAGGTGAAAATATCTTAAGAAGAATGTCGTTTATAGCTGTACAATGCTGTGGGACTGAAAACAGCTAAAATTATCAAACTTGTCTTTTCTATACTTTGCAACAAAGTCAGTCTATAGATTCATAAGGAATAAGATGTTGCCTAGAAAAGATGTTGTACCATGGACTGCTCAGAGAAAGAATTGATGAGGCTTCCATCTCCCCTGGCGCTTTCAGCTTGGAAGAAGGCTCTGAGTATAGCTGATATCACAGACTATCTGGGGTTCCTGTCCACATGACCCTATGTGATCATAACACAGAAACAGAAGTTGTGGGTAACAGGGACCCAGAGCCATTATCAGTACAGGGGGCCAGGCAGGAAAGGATGAGTGAACACAGTGGAAAGGGTTTGCATGGCCTACACACTTTTCCGAGGTTCTTCTACTTAGAGACCACAGCCTCATTAAAGGACTTCAGTGACTTTTATTGCAGTCAAACATGAGAATTTTTCACACATTACTTTCATGCAGTTTTCCTGGCCCATTTGCATTACCTGCTTGGTCTCTCACCCACATACACTGTGTGTCTGTGTGTGTGTGTGTGTATATATATATGTGTGTGTGTGTGTGTGTGTGTGTATATATATGTGTGTGTCTGTGTGTGTGTATATATATGTGTGTGTGTGTATAAATATATATATATATATTATCCCTTTCATATGCGGCTGCTTTGGCATTGTCTTCTGAACCAAACACATATGTATATTGATCGCCGATCATTGCTTTCTGGCCCTCTCAGTCATGTATTTAGACTATCCCACATTCAAACACTGATCCCATTTTGAATGTAAAACTCAAGGGCATTTCTTCTCATAACACTGGACTCCACCTGACATTTGAGACAGATCTTCTGGGCAATCTTGTCATTTGGTACAGACACAGAGAGACCTCTGATGTCAGCCCACCAGGAGTTAACAAAAATTTGTACTCACAAAGTCCTAAATTAAATACACATTAAACAGTGAAATCATCATACCAGCCAACAACTTTATTCCCCAAATAGTGTCTAATATCATGGAAAGACACCCGAGCCCTTAGTCAATAGAGGTGTCAACTTTGACAAAGGCCACAGTGACCACTCACAGTGTGGCTGCTTGAAAATGACAGAACCCTGGTCCAAAGAAGCCCTGAGGTAACGGGGCTCTCAAGCATGTGTGAGGCACGAGACCAGCCCAAGACCCTGCCCCAATCTCTCGAAAGTCGTTTAACTACAGGAAAACGTGATGGCACTAACAAGATGAAAGATATCAGAAGTGAGCATTGGGACAGAGCAGGGCCAGATGCATCTAAATGATAACCAGCTGCAGAAGCAACATTGTAATCTAGCATCTTTAACTTTCTATGTGTAAACCCCCAAGGATTTGGTTTAGCAGATATATGGTACCACAGAGATATTTAATAGTTATTTCTTCAGTACTGAATGTGGTCACCATTTGGCAGTTGGAATGAGGAGGATGTAAATTTACAGAGGAACAAGACAAAATAATCCTTTCCATAACGCTTGGGAGGGAATGAAGATGAGAATGTGTTTGACTACTCCACTTTTGCTGTGACAGATGTGAGGGCAGCATGGGGACTACATCCAGCTGACATCAGAGGTCTCCTGTGTCTAGAATAAATGACCAGATGGCCCAGAGAAGCACACACACATGTCAGGTGGACTCTGGAGTTCTGAGAAAAATGCACTTGGGTTTCACATTCAAAAGCACCTGCATAGACAAACTGCAGGAGAGACTAGAGCTGATTCCTCAGGGAGACAGACACAGAAGCTGCCTTCTCAGAGGAGACAGACACAGAAGCTGCCTTCTCAGAGGAGGCAGAGGGACACAAACTGGTTCCTCAGCAGAGGCCGAGAAGTGAGCAGAAGCAGAGCATTGCCTATGTCACCTTCTTCCCTGGGGACGGGACTGCATTGACAGTGGAACCGGAGCGAGTGCAGACATTTGGCTGGAACCCCACAGCCCTCATTCTCTCCTCACCGCTCCTCTCCTGACTTACTGCTTTGCTGCTGAGAGGATGGAAACACTTGAGATGTCTTTAGAGACTGCATGGGATCCCGAGGACTCCTCTGTCAAATCTTTCCACAAAGCTCCCCTATTCTGTCATTTCCTCCTGACAGTGTCATCAACATCACACTGGCTCCTCATCCTAAATCTTTGCTCTTCACCCCATCCCCCAGTAGTGTCCAAAGCTCTCAAGGTGTTAAAGGTGACCCAGCTTTTCCCTGGGGTATTGTCTCAGGAGGGCACTTTAGAACGTAGAACAAAAGTCTTCATGCTTTGGAAAAATAGAACTAAGCTCCTCATAGAGAGTCGCGGGGGATGTACAGATAGTATGTCTCAAGGACATAATCACCTGATCACAATTTCAAGACACAGAGGCATCATTCTGCAATTCCCTAATCAGTGACAGGAGAAGGTTACTCCCTCTCTGCTCTATGTGGAAGGCCTCAGAAGGCTCATACACCCTGCTCAGAGGCCAACAAGCCTGTGGGGAATGTGGTCGTGCTCACCAGAAACTGACTGAAAAACTGCTTCCTGCATGCTCACCACACAGATGCAGCAAGAACTCAGATCTTAAATATCACACAGGAAATCAGTGGCCACCGGCCCTGGCCCTCTGTCCACACCTAAAGGTTTAAAAGTGTGAGCATGAACAGGTGACAACTGAGGACAGCTCAGACCTCTGAAGATGTTCCTGCTCCTGATCGTGGTGGTGGCTGTCCTGCCAGTCAGCACTGAAGGAGGTAAGCAACCACTCCCCTCCCTCGAGTCCTGTGTGTCAACTGACACTGCCACAGGGTCCCAGTCAGGCTCTGTCTGAGGTCTACTCCTCACTCAGTTCATCTGAGAAGTTTGCTGAGCCCCAGCCCAGCGCTGGATAAATGGGATCTGAAACCACAAGGAACTGCTTGTAATGGTACCTAGTAAGTGAGATCTGTCATGTAAGAGAGAGGAATTACTAAACTGTCATAGATACAGAGAAAACTGTCTCGAAAAACAAAAGCAAAAGCAAAAATAACCTATCATAGGACCCTAGTGGAAAGATGGAGTTGAAAATGAAGGCTGAAAGTTCCCAATGGCCAAACCTAAGAGCGGGCAGCTATACCCCATGCCTGACATGAGGATTGAGATTAGAAGAACTTGTCTGTTCTGGTTTCCAGGCTTCACCTTGGCCTTGTCTCTCTTCATCTGAACATACAGGTCTGCCATGGCAGCTGCCCACAGTCTAACAGAGTCCCCTAAGTGAGGGTTCATCCCTGCTCCACAGTTTATTGGAAGCATGGTCCTCCAACACAACTCCCCAGTTCACTATGATTCTGACACCTCTGTGTTCTCCCTTCTAAGTGTTAAGTGTCTTTCAATGACTTAGGAAGACAATCCTACCATGAGGTTCAGGCTACATTAGGAACTCCTCTCCCAGCTACTGGCATAGCACATTTGAGGGATTTTCATGGTTTGTACAACAGTCTTCTGAGTGTTGTGCTTGCTGTGTATCATGAATCAGAATAGAGAAAAGGAGGACAGAGTTTTCTACCACAATAGGGCTTCATGTTAACCTCAGTGACAGCCCAGAGTCTAAGTGAGCAAGACTCCAGGTGAAGCCACAGTTGCTGGCTGGATGTGTTCTAAGTGTCCAGGACAATGTGTGCTGAATTCTTCCTGTATGGGTACATGAGGTTTGACTGAGTCAGGGAAAAAACTTGGTTACAGCATTAGTACAAGAGGAAATTGAAAACCGGGGGAAAAGTGACATCATGCTTCAAGCCCTGTGTGATCACCCACAGCAGCCAGCGACCCTTACCTGGTGTGTGACAGACACTACAAAAGGCTCTCTTCTTCTCTGTGTCAAATCCACATATTCCCCTGGCATGAAATATCCCTTATGACAGCTCCCTGCTGTTGCAAAGTTTCCATGAGCACAGAGTTTCAGAACAATTTTTCTCTCTTAGGAGAAATAATTTGGGGTAAAGAGGCCAAACCCCACTCCCATCCCTACATGGCATTCATAAACTATACCGATAGCAAATCACAACCAAGTCGATGTGGTGGTTTCCTGGTGGAGAAAGACATCGTAATGACAGCAGCTCACTGTTATTCAAGGTAAGGAGGAACAAGAAGGTCTGTGTTGCCTGGGAATGACCGATACCATCAGATCCAGGCTGCCCTTAACAATAGAACAAAGTGAAGATCAACCTCACTTTATCCTATTTGACCTAACTTGATTGTGGGACAGGGGACCGATGGTGTCAATGGAGGATCTGAAGGGCTGGGGATGTTCCTGAAGCCCTAAGACACAACCTTACGCGTGAATTTCTTGCTATTTGACTCAGCCAAGCTCTGCCTTAGGCTGAGCCCTCCACCTGCAGTTCAGAGAATGACATATTGCTCCCATGTTGTACTTAATCCATTTTATTTTCACAGAAAACTAACTGTAACCCTGGGTGCTCACAATATCAAGAAAAAGAATAACACCCAGACCATTCCTGTTATTAAAGTCATCTGCCACAAGGAATATAGTAGTAAAAAAAGGGTCAATGACATCATGTTACTGAAGGTACCATTTTTCTGATTACTTTGCAGCACTCCACAGATTGCTAGTGTATCAGTCCAGTCCTCTCTCTGAGTGGTGGGTCTATGGTCCCAGGGTAACAGAATGGGACTTTGGGGGCTTTGTATTTGGGGAAGGTACAGTCAGCCTCATCTGTGGTTTAAGCTTACTGAGATGCCAGACCTGAATCTTTCTTCATCTTTCTGACCAGCTGAAACACAAAGCTCAAATCAATAATGCTGTGAAGACCATTGCCCTTCCAAAGAGCAATGACTGGGTGAACCCTGGGCAGGTGTGCACAGTGCCAGGCTGGGGAAATGAGGAACATTGTCATCGTCCTAACAAACTTCGGGAAGTGAAGCTAGAAGTTCAAGAAAGCAAGAAGTGCCAAAAAATGTATAAAAGTTACAACAACTCCATCCAGTTCTGCGTGGGAAACCCCGAGAAAAACTATGCTACTGCTGATGTAAGGACATGGCCATCTTCACATGTTTTCCTGGGACAGGGCTGTAATGCAGACACAGTCAGGCCTTCTCCCACTGGGCAACTGCTGCTATCTATAGTGTATGTAGGGATCAACCTACAGGGATCCACCATTTTCCCTGGGTCAATCTTCTGTCCTCTCACCATGGGAAAATAGGAGAACAAAGTCTGCTGAGACTGAGGAAAGGACACATCAGGCACAGACACTCTAGGTAGAGGTCACAGAGTTCATTGACCTCCATCCCACTCAGGACATAGGTAAATGATGTCACTTAACCTTTCCATCTGAAAACCCAGGCCTTATTAGGAACAGAGAAAAACTGGGAGAAAATGAGTCTTGCAAGATGTAACAAGAGGATACTTACAATGGCTTCTCTTTTTCTGTCAACAGGGAGATTCTGGAGGACCCTTTGTGTGTCACGGGGTAGCCCAGGGCATTGTAAGCCAACACCATTGCACTGGGGACCTTCCTGAGGTTTTCACCAGAATCTCAAGCTTTCTACCTTGGATTCAGAAAACAATTAAACTCCTCAACAACCCTAATAGACAAGTCCTGTTTCAGGACCAATGTCCGAAATCCTAGGGTACAGATATCTGAGTCTTAATAAAGACATTTATCTTCATAAAAGAGATGGCATTGTTCCCTTTTGCGAATGCATAGCTAAAGTATTTTGTCCACCAGCTTCCCCTTCACCCTCCCTTCTTCTCATGGACGCTATCTTCAGATGCTTCTCACTAACCTGCACATCTTACCTGTGCACTGACCCCATCCTCTCAGCACACAGGTAACCCTGTACTGTCAGTCCTGGGGAGCACTTAGTCTGAGAAGAATGATGTCTTCCTTTCCAAATTCTTCTTCAAATGTAACAGACTTGAAAGGATGAAACATTCAAAAGTCCTCACTTCCCACTCTACACATTCCTCTAAGGAATTTCTATGATCCTAGGAAGTCCACTGTTCTCTGAGGCCCCTCCCAGGTCTCTTGGTCCAGCGCCCCAAGGCCTCTCTACCCAGCTGTCATTTCATCTGAGAGCTCTGTCCTCCTCTCTTTACCTTGTCCAAAGGGACACAGGAGATGACACATGACAGCTCCATCCCCTGGATCAGGAACTTTAGAATAGGATCAATTGTTTGTGCCTAGACCTGTAGGATCATTTCCACTGACGCGGGCCAGCTCAGCACTTCTCCAGTGTGTGTGTGTGTGTGTGTGTGTGTGTGTGTGTGTGTGTGTGTGTCTGTGTCATGTGATACCCCAGAACCCCTGTGTGACCTGAATCACAAGCATCCACTGATTGAATACTGTCTCATTCAGCTTGTGCCCCTAGTCATAGACAGCAGTATGATACCTTCTTTGTTGTTCAATTTCTCACATGGACTCTAGGCTTATTGGACATCCTCATTGCCAAGCAGCTCCCTATCAGACCTATACACCCAAGGCTCTCCTCACAAATCTCTGTCTGGGGTTAATATCTGTGAGTTTGGTTCTCTGACCCACTGAGATTAGCAAAAAGCAGCTGTGTAACTGTGGGTTTGGATCTGTCTGTTGGAGCCTGGAAGACTCAGCTGGGGATATACAACTCAAGACAGTGGTTACCTCCTCTCCCAGAACCTATCAATAGCCAATAGTTCAGAGGTAAAGAGTGGGGCCCTGCAAGCCCCTCCAAATTCTAGACTAATTGGTGATAGGGGTGGTCTCATGTGGGCCCAGTGCTGGTAACTAACGTTGGCATGAACCAATGACTGCAATAACAGTATCAAGTCCAGAGAAAGGAATTTTGCAACCCTTCACCCTACCTCCAGATCTTACATTCTTCCCATTCCCTCTTCCATCATGTTTTCTAAGCCTTAGAGGGGGTGGCATAAGTGCCTGGGTTGTGGGTGGACTCAGGACTATTACTTAGTTGTGCATCTGGGCAGCAATGATTCTCTGCACTCCCTGTGACTCATTGTTAGGACAAGTGTCTCTGATTAGGGCCGGGGCCTCTTTTGTCAATGAAGGAAAGCATGTGTTTTTGGAAGTCAGTTTGCTGCTGTGTCAGTTCAGTAAACCATCGGAAATGCACTCCCCACATGGACCCACTGGCTCCCTGTACGTTATTAGCCAGGCTTGCAGCAGCAGGCATGGGTCTCATGCAGCCCACAGTGTGGGTCTTGAATCTGGTCAGAAGGGAGTTGGTTCTGACCAGAGCAGTGATGCTGATGTTTCACAGGTGTGCACATCTGGTGCGCCATGGCCCACCTCTGTTCTTACCACATTGCTACCCTGATCCCACTGATTCTCCACCGGAGACCTAAGCCCACCCACCTCCAGTTTCATATCGCGTTGCTCCTCTACTCAGATGAGTCTCCCTGCCCCACTGAGAACCCAGTCTGCCCCACTGTGGTGCCATGCCACAACAACCCCCAGCCACAGACCCAGCCACTCCAGGATTGCTACGGGCCCAGGCTAGACTTGAATCTGGTAGAACACGCTGCCCCGATTCGCAGATTCCAGCCAGAGCTTCATCCCCTTGAGACACCCCAAGACATCTAGTCTAAAGCCACCCTGTGATTCCAGTCTAGTGGGAATCACAACAACAAAAGCAAAGCAGCCAACAGTCTAAATCCAAATTCTCATTTCCTATCACAAAAAAACACACAATGAAAAACAGACAATATGCCGACCTACTAAATCAACAATTCCATAACGAAGTCCCTTACGAAGAGAAACTGAGATGAAACCCAAGACACATAACTCTGAAATTCTATGAAAAGACCAAACTCACCAAGTATGTGTAATTGCCAACCCATGTCCTCTTACTCCACAAAACTATACTAGAATTGAAGGAGACATAAGAACTTTTGAGATAACAGCCCATCTCCTAGGGACTCAGCCTCTTCGTGAAGACCCGAGGCAAGACTGCTTCTTCCTGGCAGCCTTTGCTCCCAGGCTGTGTCCATCCCTGTGTGACACCACAGAACCTAAGAACCTCTCTGCACCAGGGACCTAAAGCAGACACACCAGGCTGGGACTCTCCAGACTCAACTTTATTTCTTGCAGCTGCCTGTCTGAACTCTGCTCCCAATCCACCTCCATCTCCTCGGGATGCAAGCTCTTGGGGTAGACCTAGCAACCCCTAGTTCTACCCAAATGCCCTTCTCAGCTTTTCCCTCTAGCCCTTCTCCATTTTCTTCTAACCTCCTATCAACTTGAAGACCAGCTCTCTTGCAATGAACCTCACAGTCAGCACTCTTAACTGAGACTCAGAGGACCCACAGTTTCCACAATTGGCTAGAAGGTTCAAAGTGGGCAGTAACAACCAAAGAAAAGAAGGTCCATCACCCACATGAATGACCCCAACTAAGACTCCTAGCAATAGTGGAGAGGGTGCCTGAACATCTACTGTGACTTCCTAATTGCCATAAGAGATGCTCTATCCAGTAACTGATGGAAGCAGAGGCAGAGAACCACAGACAAGTACTTCCCTGAGCTCTGAGAGTCTTTCAGAAAGGGAGGCAGGATGAGAGAAACCACAGAGACAGCTGAGCTAAGCTTGATGGAGCTCACAGACACTGCGCAGTCAGGGAGCCTGCATGTGTGTGGCAATCATGTAGTATGGTCTCTTAGTAAGGCTTCTAACAGTGGGAGCAGGCCCTCTCCCTGTTGCTTAGCTGGCTTTTGGTAACCTGTTCCCCATGCTGGATTACCTGACCAGGCATTGACTTAAGGGGAGGAGCTTGGCTCTTCCTCAACTTGATGCGCTATGCCTTGTGCAAGCCCATGGGAGGCCTGTCCCTTTCTGAATGGAGATGCCAGAGGAATGGATGGGGTGGGGGTAGATGGGAAAGGGGAGGAGAGCAGAGGAGAGGAGAGAGGGGAAACTGGTTGGTATGTAAAATAACTGAAATATGGTTATTTTAAAAAAGAGAGAAAGTTTACCAAATAAAGACAAGAGCAGGTATCTACAAGAAACACTTCAAACATCATAATTCAATATTCCTAGATCCCAGTGCAAAAGCACAAACATAAACAACCAAGATAATATACTTCCTTAGGAAGTCAGCAACTCTATTGACAGGGAGAAAAGCAATTTAGCTGAAGCAAAAGACCAGGACTTCAAAATAACGATTGTAAATGTGCTCGAAGACCTAAAGAAGACATGGGTAAATGAATGGATCAGTGAAGATCATAGAAACACAAGCAATTGAATAGAATCAATTTAACACATGAAACAGTCCCTAAAGAAAACCCAAATGAAATAAAACTGGAAATGAAAAACTCAAGGAGTCAAAAAAAATAAGAAAGAAATAGAACAACAAAAAAAACCTACAGAGGTAAGCTTCACCAACAGAGCACAAGACATAGAAGAGAGAATATCAGACACTGAAGACAACAAATATAGATACCTCAATCAAAGAAAAAGCTGAATCATTAAAAATGCGGGAACAAAACATCCAGGGGGTCTGGGACTCTGTGGGAAAAAAACCAAACACACAAACAGTAGATACAAAGAAGAAGAAACCCATGTCAAAGACACAGAGAATGTTTTAACCAAATCATAAAAGAAAATTTCCCCAATCTAAAGAAAGAGATGTCTATCAAGGTCCGAGAGAGATACAGAATGCCTAATACACAGGACCAGAAAAGAATGAACGTAAATAATTATATACTGAATGAAAAACATAATATAAAAAGCTGTAAGAAAAAGGCACCAAGTCACATATAAAGGCAGGCCCATTAGAATAGAAACCTTGAAAGACAGAGGGCCTAGATGGATGTTCTACAAGTTCTAAAAGATCCTGGATGAAAATCCAGACTATTACACCCAGCAAAACTATCCATAACAACTGATGGAGAAAGAACCTTGAAAGGAGTGTGGGGTCTCCTGGATGTATTATGTGTGGCTAGCTTTTCTCTGAAAAGTAAGATTTTCACACTAGGGAGGGGTGAGGATCAGTGGTGTTACACAGACCAGGACCTCCATTCCACAAGCTTAGAGCTGAAGGCTCAGTTTATCACCCCTCTTGGTGGCCTAACCCACAAGGTTATGTGAATAATATCCCTTTGCTTCCCCAAATCCAAATGAGTGAGGAAAGAGAAAAAGAGTAAGAGAGAAGGAATTCCAAAACAGTGAAAACCCCTATCTTGAAAATCACTGATTTCAGATCCTGAAGAGATAATGGAAGAGTTCCAAGGAGGCCCTCCTTGAGGAGGTACCCACCCTACTTGATACCACAGAAGGGATTCCAGAACACGTACCCTGAGGTCAGGACCTCTGACCCCCGTCCCACTGGTTCTGGAACTGGCTTCGCATTGGCGGCAACAACGAGAAGTCAAATATGCCTCATAGCAGCGTGTGAAAAGGAATGTGTGTGCTAGGACATTCCCGACAGCCTACAAGACGTGAGAAGACCGTTAATAGATTGGAGGCTAAGATGAAGAAACATCCTGATGGGGCCTAGTGATAAGAACTGATGGACAGACAGCATTGCAGGACCATAAGAGAAACATGCCTGTAAGAGGCTTCACCCAAACTGTGAAGACTCCTCTTAAACAAGATCATTATTGACTAACATGTTACATTCCTAAGCAATCTCTCAACAAAGAGGCAGCCTGCTCTGAGCCTGCCCATATGATGAGCAAGACAC